TGAGGAGCACATTAACAGCATGAATGCAGGCGTGCTCCTCCGAATGGTTAAATGTTCTTGTTTCAAAGCGGTAAGAGAGAGGCCAGAAACATCTGAATGGCTTAGTCATACAGAGCATGCCTGGGTGCTGGGGGAAGGGACTCAAGGGAGTGATGTGGTTTAACCACTGGGTCCCATTTGCTGGTTGCTTTGCTTATGATCAGCAAGCCACTTCATGATCTGTTGCCTGAGCTCTTCATTGGGCCTGATCTGGTCCATGGTGAGCGGACTGCGGTTGAAAGGGTCTGTCTGGTCACTAGAACAAAAAAGACAAAACCAACACTGCTTTTAAAAAAAATAACAAATAACAGTGCCATTACTGTTAACTAAAACTATTAAAACGGTTTTCTATAAAGTTGAAATAAAATAAAATATAAACATTAGATGAAAAACAAAAAAAAATAATTGAAAATGTTGCCTTGGCAGCAAAAATAAGTTTAAGTTCTAAAATTACTAAAACTGAAATAAAAATTAAAGATATATAAAATTATTTACAAAACCAAAAACTAATAAAAATTACAAATGTGCATAACAAAATCACTAAAACGTAAACTAAAATGTAAATATAAAACTTAACCTATAATAGTATATAAATAATACCCAGTATCCAAAATAACAAGTATAAAATAATGTTGTATACATATATACATTTTGTTTTAATTTTAAAGTTTCAGTAATTTTGTTGTGTTTAATACATATATGTAGTTTTTATTAATTTTTATTTCAGTTTTAGCTATTTTAGTACATCAAGTAAATAAAATTAATAAATTAACTAAAATAAAATGACAAAGCTAGCTGAAATAGTTATTCAAATTCATTTTCAGTTAACATTTATTTTAAGTAATGAAAATGTTTTTTATTGGGTTTAATTTTAGTTGCTATAATAAACCTGATACACGTCTCACCTTAGTAAGTGTCGTGCTATTGTTGTACGGTCCACTGTGACGTTTGAAGAAGGTAGCAGCACCGGATCAAGCATCAATGTAGACATGATGGGATCCAGAAATTCATCCGGAGCATCAGAGTAGGTCTCCTCTTCTTGCTGATGCCTGTCTGCAAGTGACTAAAAGAGACACAGAAGATTACCACTTAATATTTAAACACCCATGACTTCCTGCGAAAGCTGTGTATCTAAGATAAATATGCATAGTGATTAAATTAACCTTAATTTTATCTGCTAAAAGACTGAAAGATACAATCATGTCGCCAGGCTTGTTGATTTTCTTGAGTACGCGGACAGTTTGGCAGAACAGAGTGGGTGAATATGACCTTCCATCTTTTGGGACAGTGGCGCAGAAATGTTCTTCATCTCTGTGGCCAAAACAGCATCCATAACAGTTAATATTTCTTTATTTTTTTAGGAATAATATGTAATCAAAGAGCCTACCCCAGGTTTAGGTAAATAGTACAGATGTCCGACACTAGCTGCTGGGGTTTGAAGTCGAATTCACTGAAGTCTTTCACCTTTAGGGCGCCCATCTTGGGGCCTACCAGGTGCTGTAAAAAGTAGTTGAGCATGGAGATGATCCTCTCAGCAAGAAAGGGATGAACAAAAATACCTTTTATCTCTGGAAGGGGAAAATGAAAAATACATGAAAAGTCTGAGTTTTAGTGTCACTTTGTACACTTAAAGCCAAGTGTTTCACCCAATAATTATTTATAACCCTTCTGTTCAGGTCTAAATTGGTCAGATAGTTTATGACCCCAAAAAAAAAAAAAAAA